CTGATTCACGCTCCGACCTGAGTTCGTCCGCCGACACCTTTTCTGACTGACCGGGTTAACGCAGCCCGCCACGCGTTCGATAACTCCAACCCGTCTGTTCTGTTCACACAGTTATTAGTCTTAGTAATCTCGGTCGCTTCAGCAATCAACCTTTGGTTTGTTGCTGGTAATCCCCTCCTAAGTATCTCGACATTGTCCCAATCAATCGCGTGTCCTGCCTCTAGCGCATGTACGGCCACCGCTGAATGTTTTACTAGGGCCCTGTATTCAGGCTCATTTCTCGGTGGACGCGAAACGTACCTCTTGTGTTCTGCTATCCTCGTGCGTAGCTCTCTCGCTGTTTGACCTATATACACTTGTTCACAGTCTTTGCAACTGATTTTATAGACACAATTTGTTGTCCTGTCTCTTGGAAGTGGATCCTTCAAACGCACAAGTGCTGAATGGAGCGTTTGACCCTTTCGAAAAACCACTCTTATTTTCTCCCTGTTTAGTACTCGTCTGATTGCTTCTGAGGTTCCCCTTTTATAGGGGATTCCCACCGTCCCAATCCACTCCGTTGTGCGTCGTAGAGGTGGATTTAGAGCTCTCTGTAATTGGCGTTTCACTAACCGCCTCGGGTATCCACTGTCTACTAGTTTGCTCACCGTCTCCTTACGAGCGGCCTTCTTGTCCTCCTCCTCTGTATACAGAGTCTGGGCTCTGTGAAACAGAGAGGATGCGATAGCGGCATAGACTTGTTTTGGATAACCCGAACTGTAAGGGAGCACTCCGTCCGTATCAGTCGGCTTGCGATATATCGTCGTCTTTAACCGTCCACCGTTCCTGTGGACTAGACAATCGAGGAATGGCAGTGTGCCACTGCAAGATTCCAGTTCCATAGTAAAGTTTATGTTACCATTAATGGAGTTCACATGATTTAGAAACGCATCCTTCATATCTCGCTTTATAATCACAAACGGATCATCCACGTAGCGCCACCAAATCTTTGGTGAACTAGTGGTGTTTGTCAGCGCCCTTCTCTCAAAGTCTTCCATATATAGATTTGCCAATACGGGGGATATTGGTGACCCCATGGCAAGTCCCTGTTCCTGAGAGTACAGTCTCGACTTGAAAGTGAAATACGACATCTTAAGGCATACTTTAATTCCATCGATGATCTGGTCTACCGTGAGTTTCGTTCGCTGCTCCAGGCTATTGTCCTCAGTAAGACAACGCTGTGCTATACCCAATGCGTCATCCTTGGGCACGTTAGTGAATAGGGAGCTAACGTCGAAACTAACCATTATTTCGTCCGGCGCGATGGCCATACCTGCTACCTTTCGCGCGAACTCATAGGAGTTCCGTACGAACGTATTTGTTCTCCCTGTTAGCGGTTGCAATAAACCTGCCAAATATCGGGCTAGTTCGTGTGTTGGAGAACCGATACCATCTACAATGGGCCGAACAGGAACTTCGGGCTTATGTATTTTCGGTAGCCCATAGATCCTAGGTGGAAATCGTTGATTTCGGGTATACGCTATACCATTTGCCCACCCCTAGGTTGGCCTTCACACTTCTCAGGTAGTTTCCTACCTCAGTTTTACACTTATTCAATATGGACGACACGGATTTTTTCTCAATTGCTTCGTAAGGCCCTTCTGCTAAATACTGTTCCATTTTTTCCTCATAATTCGATTTGTTCATTATCACTACGGTCTTGCCTTTATCCGCTTTCGTGATGATAATGGTGGGGTCTTCTCTTAAAGCCTTTAATGCGGTACGCTCCGCCATTG